TGTATATATATGAATATATACATTCATCTGTACATATATTTATTTATTTATATCTTTTTAAACGCCCCCGCCCACCCAAGCACACATTTTTTTTCCCCTCGCTCTCTCTCTCTCTCTCTCCCTATTTCTGTCTCTCGGTCGAACTCATTCAGGGGCCCACCCTGGAACACCACGACCCCCAGACACTAACCGCCTTGCGTGTGTGGCTGTGTGTGTTTGGTTCCCTGCCTTTGCCGCACCCCTTGCCATTTCTTTCCTCCTCTCTTCCCTGGGCTCTGTCCTGGCCTGCCCTGCCCCGCCGCCTCGCCCGCCTGCGCACAAGGAGCATACCTTCCGCGTGAAAGGAAAAGGGGGTGGGGGGCAAGAGGAAAAAAAAAACACGGGGAAAAAAGGCGAGGGATAACGAAGGTAAATAAAGAGGGGACGCGTGGCGTGGGAGGCTTACATGCAACGTCGCTTGGCCGTGGGGCGTTGCACAGGGCGAACGCCCCGGCTGCCATGCCGCCGAACGCTCGCCTTTGCTCTTCCGCTGCAGCAGCGGCAGCACGACTGCGACCGCCACTCTGCCGGGGGCGGTGCGCTGCGCAGCATGCGGCGGTGGGTGGCGACGGCGGGGTCCTCCACGCCGGCTGCGCCGCCGCACATGTCGTTGGAGGCGCCCGTGGACGCGGCCGCGGAGGGCTCCCTCCCGGTGACGTACACGCCGGGGTCCGGCCCAAACGGGGCCCTTGCGGCCCCCACGACCGCCATTACGGGTCGCTGCGACGTGCTCTCGGAGTGCCTCGCCAAGGCCGATGAGCTGGCGATGCAGCTCAAGGCGCAGAATGCGCTGGGGGCAAGCGCGGAGATCCTCACGCAGGAGGGGATGGAGGAGTTTGTGGATGAGCTCAAGACGTCTGCGACGGGTGAGATGACGGCGCTTGTGGAGCAAATGCAAAAAACGCCGCTGCTGCAGCAGGCCGGCATGCATGAGCTGCGGCGCACCCTCTACTACACCACCTCGTTAAAGGAGCGGGACTGGATAGAGGACCCAAAGTACACCGCGGCGATGCGCATGTTGACCGTGGAGCTCCTGCGCCGCGACAACGACGGCGTGCTCTCGGCGGACGATGTGTTGTACGTCTCAACGCATATCGTCTCCGCCAACTTCTACAACCGCCACTTGTGGAACCGCATGGAGAAGGCCATGCTTAAATTTAGCAACTACGAAAACATCGACATGGCCTCCATCAAGGCCTTTTCAACGAGGCTCTTTAAGACCCGGCGCGGCTGCGCAAAGGAGACGCTGGACATTCGCCGAAAAATTTTGCTGGCTATGTCGCGCCGTGTTGGGGTGCTGGCCAACGACTTTGATCTCCCCTCGTTGCTAGGCATCTTGCAGTGCTACACCGTGCATGATCTAACGCCGTTTCACCTAGAACCCCTCGCGATACGTGCGACGAACCACGTCAGCGACTTCACCCCACACGAGTGTGCGACGCTCTCGCACGTGCTGCGTAAGTGGCGCAACATGCGACTGGAGGTGTGCGAGCGGCTGGTGGAGCGCATCTGCACCGCCGACCAGCTCACGCACCACATGGCCAACGCCGCGATGATAAGCATTCGCAGCTGCTACTCCAAGGTGAGCGACGGTGGGCGCAACGCGATGAACGCCGAGCCGACGCGGCAAAAGCTGCGGGCCATGGGCGAACAAGTGGGCTGCCGCCTGGACGAGGTGGAGTACCCCGCCCTGCCCGTCATCCTCAGCATTCTTGACGTGATTGTCACGCTAAAAATATACGTCCCCAAGAAGAGCCTGCAGACGATCTTTGCGCAGGCCAATGACATGCTGGCTGTGGTGATGGAGCAAAGGGACGATTTGGTCGACCCAAAGACGGGGAAGCGTGTGCGCCCCATCACAGCCGAGGAAGGACGGCAGCTGCAGGCCCTGCTCGCACACTACGGCAACGACCTTGCGCCGGAGCTAGCGCAGCGGCTGAGGGAGGCCTTCCGCGAGGGCATGCTTCCAGATGAGGCGTCGCTGTAGCGACACGGCGTATTTGCCCTTCACCGCGTTTTTTTTTTTTCCTTGGGCTTCCGCACGCGCACGCGCACTCCGACGACAACAAAGGATAATAATGTGCGGAGTGGCGCCAAGCATCAACAGCGAAGAAGAAAAAAGAAAAAACAGTGGTTACCGAGGGCCGCCATTGCGCCCTCGTTTGTCTCAGTCACAGAGAGTATACAGAAGAGGTTTGCTGTTGCGAGTGTGTGTGCGAGAGAGAGAGAGAGGAGGGGCGGGGAGAGAGAGACATGACAAAAGGGGACACGCTTGCTCGTAGGCGCACAAAAGTGCCCGCGCTGAGAGGCGGGAGGAATGGAGCCGAGGAAGAAGAGTTGCCCGCGAGCGACCGCCGCCTGCGGCAGGCCTCAGCGAGCATTGGCCTGCAAAGACGCAAGAGTGCAAAGTAAGCAAAACTGAGCAGCAGCACACGGAGGAGGAGAAGGGCAAACAGGCGGAAGGAATTTTTTCAAAAAAAATGAGAAAGTTGCATGTGGGGAGTACGGGGGAGGAAAAACAAAGCAGCATCCCTTTCCGCTTGCACACCGTAGTTTGTTGGAGAAGGATTTTCTGGGACCCGTCTGTCGTTGTTCCGCGGCGCTCACGTTTTACACAGCTGCTGCTACTTCTACACAAACACACACGCACACTCGCTTGTGGAACCACTCCTGTTGTTATTCTGCCTCTTCTTGTCCCACGCCCCATATAAATATATACATATATGTATATTTATTTATTTATTTGTCCACCATGCATTGCGCCAAGGGAAGGTCGATGCTCCAGCCTTTTCCCTTCTCCCTCTTTCCTTCCCACACAGTAGTAAATGTGGAGACGCAGCTGCCTCTACGTCGCATCGTCGGGCTGCTGGGGACGGCTGCGGAGTGCCGTGCGGTGGACGTCGCTGTCGCACGCGCCGCGCCGGCGCCGAGGCAGTCAAAGCCTGCGTGAAGCGGCTTCGTTGAGGTTCCTCAGCACCTGTGCCTCGGCGCCGGTTTGGCAGCGCATCGTTGCGAGCATTCAAGAGGCGGCAGAGAAGGTAGATGACATGGAGCCGTGGTGGCGATTTTGTCGACTGTGGCGCATGCACTTTCCGCAAACGGCGCCAGACGATCTCCCGCGGATGTTGGAGGACGAGCTCCTCCTGAGCGGCACGCAGAACGGGGCGGACGAACGGGAGGAGGGCGACGACGCCACGGAGCGTGTCCCGCATGACTTGCATTGCCTTCCGGCTTTTTTGCAAGCTGTGTGTGCGGCGGTGCAGTTGGGGGAGGCGCGTCTGCGCCTGTCTGCTGCTGCCGCAGAGGGAAGCTCAGGCGCAGAGAACGCGTTGCTCGCCGCCGTCCTTGTAGAGCTTCGCGTAGTGGCTTTCTACCTGGCGCAGGAGCGATTGCCACACACCCTTCACGCCGCACGCGACCGCCTGGCGGAGGCTGCCCATGCAAAGGCCGAACACAGCACGAAAGATCTTGCGCTGAGCACTGCGCCCTTTGCTTCTCGCGACGCCGAGCGCGTGCGCCAGATGGGCGTCCGGCTCACACCGGAGGAATTGCAGCAGGCCGTTGTTCTGGCCGACACAAGTGCTGCGCTGTTGGCGCTATCTCCGCCTGTGACGCTCTTGCCATCTCTGTACCGTCTGCTGCTCCCCGCCCTGGGTGCATGCGAACAGCTGGAGAGCCATCAACTTGGCGCGCTTGCCACCGCGGTTGCTCGGGCCGCGGATTTCGATGATCCCAACGGCGGCAAGGAAGTCTCCGCCTGTACCGCCACTGCCGAAACGGCTGGCGTCGGCGGCGAGGCCCTGCGGCCAGCCATGACGTCCTACACTGTGCTCTCGCACCTGCACGCCGTCGCTCGGGCGTTGGAGGTGCGCATGCGGGCGTCCATGCAGCAAGGTGCGTCCACAGGAGAGAAGTCGGGGTATTCCTCCACTTGCCAGGCCCAGCTGCGGTTGCTTTCGCTAAAGCAGCGTAAGGCGTTGGAGAGGCAGCGCGCGATGGAGCGTGAGCGGGTTGGTGGCGGGGGTGCTGCCGATACGGTGCCGTTAGAGACGGTGGGGGTGGTGTGCAGTGCCCTCGCCGCGCGGCGCTACACCGATGATCATTTCTGGAAGGCTGTGACCGACTACACGGTCGCCGCTCTGCAGGCATCGGTTTCTTCCTCCTCCGCTTCCGCGCTCCGCCCCGGTCTCGTACAAGACGTGCGCGACATTTTGTTTGCGCTGGACCATGTCCACCACACGGTTCACTTTGACTGCGTGATGTCACTGCTGGTGAAGCTGCGTCTGCTGGAGGAGCCGATTCCGCCCCCGTCGGCGCTGCAGAATGCCATGAAGGCGGTGAAGGGACGGACTGCGGAAACTTTTCACCGGTAACGCGTGGCCGCTGGGAACTAGTTTTTTTTTTTTTTTTTTGTCGGTAGCGGGGGCAGTTGTGTTGCCATTTCCTCGCCCCGCGCACACGCCCGCCCGCTCTTGCTCCGCAATTCTCTCTGTTTGCTTGTTCTTGTTTTTTTTTACTTTTCTTTCGGCTGTGAGGAGGCATGGAGGCGGCGCGGCTGCTGCGGCTTGAGGCGGAGGCGTGGGCGTCCGAGCAGCGGCGGCAGCTCTACAGTACCCCACTGGTTCCCGGGTTCCCGTGGTACACCGTGGCTGCGGCCGCCTCGCGCGCCGTGCGCCGCCACGTGGTGCCGTACCATTACACCTTCCGCGTCTTTGTGAAGGGGCGCTGGATCGGGCAGTCCCTTTTGGACGTCTACAGCGCGGAGCACGCCCACCACTCGCGCCAGTACTACGCGACCTGCATGCAGCAGGGTCTGCTGCGACGGCAGTCAGGGGCACACCGTAATGTGCGACGGAGTTGCATGAAACGCTCGTATGGGGTGGACCAGCCGAGCGGGAGAGACGCCGTCGATGCCGTTGCCGAGCCAGTTATCTTGGAGCCGGGCGACGTCGTCCTTCACACGGTGCATCGACACGAGGTTCCCGTGTGTATGGGCACCACAGGGTTGGATCCGGTGGTTCTCGCGGCAGTACGAATCACGGCATATGGGCTGCTCGTGATCCACAAGCCAGCAGGCGTCCCCACGCACGCGGGCGGTAGGTATTTCATGAACTCCTGTACAAGCATGCTGGAGTATGTCCTGGCGCCCAAGCGTCTACGCGCCTGGCTGCTGCAGCGGGACCCTCTGCTGCAGTCCATCGTGTCAACAAGCCACCTGACGGAGGTGGAGTGCCAGGAACTGCTGGCGTACTACGCGGTGGAAGGCGAGGCCGGCGCGGGCGATTGCATTCCCATGGAACGACTGCCACGCCCGTGTCACCGCCTAGACAAGGTAACCTCTGGTGTGTTGCTGTTCGGGGTTTCACAGGCGGCCACGCGGCGTGTGGGAGAGGCGCTGACGCGCAAGACGAAGGAGATGGAGGAGGTGTTCCTGCGGCAGCTGCGGTTGATTTCTGCAGACGGTGCCAATACAACGAGGGTGGGCGGTGTGCGGAGCATTGCGACGACGGTGTTGGAGGAATTTTGTGTTGGCGTGCGAAAGCGCTACCTGGCCCGCGTCCATGGTTGCTTTCCCAGTCGCGCGCTGCGCGCACTCGCCTCGCGTGGAGGGGAGGAAGCGAAGGACACGGAGGCGCGGCATCACACCGTGGCGGACGACGGTCTGTTTATTGCCACGACCGCGTCCCACACCACCCTCCGCCACGGGGACGCGGGAGGGGGAGGGCCGGCGTGTGCCGTTGGCCCGTCTGTGCTGCTTGCCTCGCCGCTGATGCAGCTCAAGTTCCGTGACGGGGACACCGCGGAGCAGCCGGTGGCGCGGGATTCCGAGGGGAAGCAGCAGCGCGAGTCTGTCCATCAGGCGGCCGCGACGTTCTGCCAACCGCTGCGCCACTTTCCCTCCGGCAGCGGCGAGCAAAAGGATGGGGATGAGACATTGGTGCAATGTGTCCCCTTCTCTGGACGCATGCATCAGATTCGCATGCATCTTAGTGACTGGGGGCACCCCATCATCGGGGACGCATGCTTCGGTGCGATGGAGCAGCAGCAGAGCAGCTTACATGCGTCTGCGTCGCCGCACTGCAAGGAAGCCGCTGCAGAGAGTGTGGAAAGGGGGGAGGGGGTAAAAATATATTTCCGTGTGGATGACCTACCAAAGAGCTGTCGTGAGAGGTTTCATGTGCATGATGGTCTCTGCTGGGAGTGCGCAGGCCGCCTTCCTGTGGCTTCGCTCGGGAATCGAAACAGTAGCACCATCGCACTGCATGCGTGGCAGTATGAAATGGATCACAGTTTACTGCTCGCCTCCGTGCCGGGCAACGCGGCTGTTGAAGCGAGTGAAGGGGCCGACGCGAAGAAGGAAAGGGAGGCGGGGTTGCAAAGCAACGAACAGGAGCATCCAGCGAAGGAGGGGAAAGAGGCGGCATCGAATCTTTGCTGCGACCTGAGAGAAGTGCGGCGGCATCCGGACGAACCTGTCCAGCGGCGAGGGGAATCTGTCGTCTTCTTTGCTCCCCCGCCTGCATGGTCGCAGGAGTGAACTTGCCGCCACGGCTACGGCTGTCCGTGTAAACTAAGAGGAGGAGGAAGAGATGGTCGGGGGGGGGGGGGGGCAAGCTTGCCTACTTGGCTTTCTTTCGCGGCGGCTCCCACTGTATTACACTCGCAATTGGCTCTCCCTTCCCCTTCAGGTGCGTAACTGTTTACTATTATTCTTCTTCTTGTTTCGTAAGTATTAAATATATTTTTTTCTTCTTCTTCTTGATGTGGTTGCCGCTGCTGCTGTGTGGCGTCTTCGGGTGCGTCACCGCCTTTGCATTGCCTTTTGTGTGTCTGTGTGTCTGTGTGTCTGATTTTGTTGTTGTTGCCCACGCTCTTGCTTTGCTTGCGGAGAAGCCAATGCTCCTCTTGTATGCCATGCGGCACGCGGAGTGCTCCATTTGCCTCCAGACACTCATCTTTAGTGCGGATGGCTCGCCGTCGCCATCGTGTGGCGGGTCACCGGCGAAGCAGTTGCCGAGTCCCCCGCGTGTCTCACCGGCGCCACGGCCGGCGGAGGCGCGCGCGGGCGAGGGAGGGTTTCAGATCACCTTCGCGCCCGGCGTGTCCCAGACCGACCCCGCCGACGAGGTGTTGACTTTTATTACCGCGCTCGACGCGTACCAGCGCACGGCGAAGAAAGGCGGCGGCAGCGGCAGTAGTGACGCGGACCGCGGGTTTTTGTCTTGCGGGGCCGAGCAGGGGATTGTAGTCCTGCCGTGTGGACACCTGCTGCACTTTATCTGTGCGATTCAGCTGCACGAGTACAGCAAGAGCCCCGCGTGTCCCATTTGCCGTCAGGCGTTGAAAGGCCCGGAGGACTACGTCTTGTTTCTCCCGCGCCCGCGTCCAACGCTTGTGGAGCGGGGCACGGCCGCGGATGTTGAGGCCAACACGTGTGGGAGCAATAGGAGCGAGGAGGGTGGGGCGGACGACGTGCTGTTTGCCGGCGAGCGCTGCGTGGCCCCGGCGGAGGCGTACCGGTGCCACCTTCAGCGGGAGGCGGAGGAGCTGGGGCGGCGGCGCCGCAACCTGCGCAGCCGCGAGCACTTCCTCACGAGCAGCCGGGACCAGTTAGAGGAGCAGTGCATCTCGCTAGAGCAGTCCGCAAGTGACGCCCGACGCCGGTACGACGTGCTGACGCGGCAGGGGGCGGTGGGGCTGGACCGCCTCAGGGAGCTTCGCGACGTGGCGCTCAAGACACACACCTCGATGGAGCAGCTCACGTCGGAGCTTGCCGGCCTGCTGCGGCAGCAACGCAACCTCGATCAGCAACTGGAAAAGTGCAGTCAGAAGCTGCAACGCATGCGACTGAGCCGGCGGAGGGACTCCACAGGCGGCGAAGACGGGGTTACGACGCGAGACCAACATGCGCCGTCGCCCATGCAGAAGAGACGACTGACGGCTCCCGTGACCGGGTCGCCGCTTTCGTACTACGTCTCTCACGACTGAAGAAAAGAAAAGAAAAGAAAAGAAAAAGACGAGGCGCGGTTAGACGAGGGGATTGCACGTTCCGCACAAGGCGATCGCGGCCTCACCGTGGGCGAGGCCATGTATATAAGCACAATATTTCTCTCGCTCTGCGCCCTTTGCGTTCGAGGTAAACGGCACGGATGGAAATGAACGCGAAGGAGAGAGAGTCAGAGAGGCGGTGTTTGTGTTTTTTTTGTGTGTGTGTGTCTCATGCTTTTCCTCCTCGTACGTCCTCTACCGCGGCCGCCGTCGTGGCTCTCATAGCTCAGTCGGTTAGAGCGTGGGTCTAATAAGCCCAAGGTCACAGGTTCGACCCCTGTTGGGAGCACTTTTCCCTGAACTACGTTTTTTGATGCTTCCCTTTTTTCCTCCCCGTTTTCGTAGCCTTGTCTCTTGTTTGCTTTACTTTTTACTGGTTTTTTTTTCTTCCTTTTCTTGAAAGAAGAAAAAGAGAAGGGGCGGGAAGAGGAAGCTGATGTCTCGGCCAAAGGAGGAGAAACCCCCGCGTGAAGAGGAGAACGAAGAGGAGGAGGAGGAGGAAGAAGAGGAAGAGGAAGAAGAAGAGGAGGAAGAGGAGTGGACCGAGCTCAACGAGCTTGAAGAGCTGCAAGATGGGCCCAGCACATTTTACGTGGGTGGGTTCAGTACCCTGAAAAGTCTACAGGATGCTCTAGGGAGGGTGGCATACCGCGATGACCTCGTCCTTGTCTACCCGGGCATTTACGAAGAGGAGGAGGTGTGCGTGGACGAGTCACGGCTAGACGGCCTGCGTGTCATGAGTGTGCCGGTGGCGATGGGCCCAAAGGGCGGGTATCGAAAAAAAGTACGCATTCCCAAAGATCAGCGCCGTATTGGGCCCTGGTATGCGCCATTTGGCACGGACGCACCAAAGACAGACGATGTCACCCCCACTCTGGCAGATTCCACCCATTTCCCCGTATTTGGGGGAAAATTGACATTGCGCAACAGTGCACCATTCACGCCGCGTGGTGAACGCAAGGCGGTGCGTCCTATCCGGCACTACGACCCACGCGAAGACCAAGATCTTGACGAGGAAGACGAGGAGCAACATGAAAAGGCAGCTGAGGAAGACGAAGAAGACGCAACAAAGGAGGAAGTCAAGCTTACTCGCCTGGAAATGCAGGGTTTGTGCTTCCTGGCTGGGGCCGTCTTTGAGCCGCTTAGTCGAGCCACCGTGCGCCACTGTGTGTTTGGTCGGTCCGAGCTGGAGGTCAAATCAAAGGCAACGAGCAGCAGCGATCTCCCGCCGACGCCCTCCCCGTTGTCGGAGACCACAGTGACTGCGCACCCCTTGACGGAAGTAGAGGTGGAGTTTTGCGTGGTCTACGGTGGGCAAAAACACGGCGTGTACGCCTTCCCGCGGTGCGCACTGCGCATTCGGAGTTGCATTATCCGCGGCCCGCAGCTTGGCGCCGCCCATGAGGCGCAGGAATTTTTGTCGCGTGCCGTGCGTCACGCGCAACAAAATCCGCACGTACACCTCACTCCCCGCTCAAAGCAATTGCTGGCGGAGACGCAGGCGCCAGAAAAGTCCCTCTGTGCCGTGGCCGTGTACCTAGACGACGCAGACGTTGCTCTTCATGACGTCTTTGTGGGGGAGAGCGACGTTGGTATTTTGCTTATGGACGGCTGCCGTGGCACCTCCGCGCTTGCCTGCCGCGTGGAGAGCATCAGCACGGTGGGGATTTTGTTCGCGGGCGAGGATGGTGCGGCAAAGATAAAGTGCACTGCCGTGAGAGAGTGCGGTCGGGAGTGCCTCCTCGTGAAGGGCCCCGTGCCGTTACTGCCGCCGGACTCCTCACTTCTGATGAGGGCCCACGCGGCGGCGGCGGCCTCAGGCAAAGGGGCGGCGGAGGAAGAAGAAGAGGAGGATGACGAGGAGGACGAGGAGGGCGGTGCCGCGAACGCCACCCCGCGGGTGCCTGTGCCCACGCAGCACCCCATTTTGCGCGGCAATGCCTTTGAGGGCGGAGTCCGTCTAGAGGGCGACATCAGCTGTGCGGCCATGTGCGACAACGTTATTTATGTGCCGAAGGACGAAGTTGCCACTCAGGCTCCAACGTTTCTGGGGCCCGCCGCGGAGAAGCGCTTTGCGCTGAAGGGGTTTCTCACCCACGTCCGCGGCACCACGCCGCGGGGGCATGACAGTGATTAGAGGGTTCCTTTTGCTGGCAAAGCCGTCCGTCGGGGCGCGGTGTCATGTAGCTCAGCAGTTTACTCGCTTGCATGTTTTCCTTCCGATCGGGCGTGGGGGATGTAGATAAGCAACTGCAATAAAAACACACCACGGGGTGGGGGCGGGAAGACAGCGTCAAGGACGAGGAGGCCCACACCGCCACAGGCACGACGCAAGCAGGAAAACATGAAAAAAGCGATTGGAAGGAAAATCGCACACCCAACAACAATAATAATTTTAAAACAAGGGAGGGGAAGTGAGGGGTATTTGATGTATTGCACCGCTCCCCACGCACTCACTTGCTCACTCCTCGTGCCCCTTTTCCTCCTTTCCCCTACTGCTTTTTTTTTGTTTAGTTCCGCCCCATCACTGGGCTCGCCAGCAGGGCACAGCAACGGAAGGCCGCGGTGGGAAACGGACTAACACACGCACACAGGGGTAGGGACGCGGCAAAGAAACCAAGAACGCAGCGAGAAATAGAAGGTCACCAGTAAGTATATAGTTTGTTATTAGAGCAGCAGTGGTTTTTGGCTTCCTGGGGGCGCGATGTACGCGCTGAACCCCTCACTCTTGCCCTTGGGATCTTCCTCGGACCTCACCAACTTTCCATTAGCCTCCCGTAGGGGCTCAAACTCCTTCAGCGCCCCATTTCTTGTCAGCGAGGACGATGCGCATGCGCAGAGCACCACCTTGTTTGGCAGCACTGCGGAGACGGCGGCTTCCGTGAGTCTCCAGCCGAGCACCACAGAGGCTGTGGCGGAGTTGATGCGGCGGTTTGTTGAGGAGAACCGCAGGTTGAAGGGGCTCCCAGTGCCTGCGGCAACGCCCTCGCAGGCAACGGATGCTCTGCATTTCTCATCCGCGGCGGACGCAGGAGTGCGAAAGGGCAAGTTGGCAGCGAAGCCGTCTGGAAAACCACTCATGAAGGCGAAGCCCACCTCCGCTGTGCCACCGCAGCGGAGGCTGTCGCCCACCAGCCGCCCTGTAAGTCGCCAGCACTCGGCAAGAGGGTCTGCTTCGCTACTTGCAACCTTGGCAAAAAAGCAGCAGCAACCCTGTGGCCTTTCACATGGAACGAGATCGACGATGTCGAACACTGGCAGAGGCCTGTCGGTCCCATCAAAAACGCGAGCAGCATCGCTGAAGGAAGGGTACTTTGCCGGTGGAGGGCCAAGGAAGAGCTTCATTGAGAGCATCACACTCTGCGAGGACGACACCTGGCTGCCTTTTTCTGGGGTGAAGAAGGCGAGGCGGAAAAGGCCGGCAACTAAGTCCGCGCCGGCGCCAAAGCCGCCTCCACGTCAACTGGCGAGGCAGCAGTACGACGAAGATGCAACCCCGTTTGCCGGAGGGCGGGTTGCCTCCTCCTCGTCAAGACCCTCGCCGCAGAAGCTTTCCTTGGCAGGCGTCAGGGCTTCTTGGGACCGCATGGGAGAGGTAGACGCTTTCGGTGCCGCCTCCCACCCTCGCGCCCTGTCCCTTTCTCGCAGGGATGGTGCCATCGGTGTCTCCTCGCGGGCCCTGAAGGTCCCGCGGATGTCCAGTCGCTCCCTGCATGCATGGAATGAGACGCCCTCCAACGTTGTCTTGCCAAATGGCACGCTGCCGTCGCAGGAAAGGCCGGAAGAAAGTGAGGAAGTTCAGTGCGATATTTGGCGCACCGCCAGTGAGCAGGTGGAGGATGACACTGAAAAGGGAGGGTGGATGCGTCCGCTGCAGGAGGTAGGACGAGCTGAGCGACGCGCCACTCATGACGCGGGTGGCGGCGGGAAACTTTACACACGTGGAATGGACGACGCCGAGGATGACGACGACGACGACGACTATCATGCGCTTTTTCATGCGTTACAGCGACTGCGCCCGCGTCACCACCGTCTCATTGACGTCCTCAATGAATCCACGACGAGAACGACGTCGGGTAATGTGCGAGGATTTACGAACTCCTTTGCGGCGTGCTCCGCGCTTCTTAAGGAGCCCCAGCAATTGCTTGACAGTAGGTTCTTTAGGTCCACCACCACCGCCGCCGCCGCCTCACTAAGTTCTGGTGACCCGGGACGGGTGGCGTCATTTGCCCTGGGTATAACTGGGGTCCCGCTCTTTGAAACGCCGGAGAAGCGTCCCCAGTTTGTGGAGTTGTCGCCCCCTGCCAAAGTGTTATACGCGGCGGTGCTGTACCTCCGAGCACTTGGTGGGTTTCCGACGCTGCTCCGCGTTAACCCACTCAGCACTGACAGCGGCGTCGTGGGCAAGGAGCACTGTGTGGAGCTTGTCTTTTGCCCGCTGTTACGCCCGCAGGCGGAGCAGAGTGCGCCTTCCGGCCCACCACAGACGACGCGGCTGCGATACTCAAGTATGGTTAACTCCATCATGGCGGCCCGGCACACCTCTGGGGGAGGCAGTCAGGGCGAGGGTGTGGGGCGGGAAGAGCGCACGGTGATTGTGCGCTCTGTTCTAGCGGAAAAGTCCGTCGTGGAGCGCTTTGGGAAGGCGGAAGTTGTCCATGTGCTGCCGCCCATGTACGATGAAAAGGCACCCTTTGGAGGCGGCGCGGATAGCACAACCAGAAAGGAGCTGCTTGAAGCCAAAAGTGACGCCGTTCGGCATCTTTTAAGCGACGCAGAGCCCAGGCGCGGGTCCACGGTTCGGTCGCGGGTGGCGCGCAGTGCCGCGTCCACGCGGGGCGTTGGCTACGGCGGGCGGAGCCAGCACGCCGACTACGGTGACCTTGCGGTGGCGTTTCTGATGAGCGGGGGATTGTCGAGCCTGAGCGATGTGCCGCCGGAGCCCATGGAACTCGAAGCCTTGCGGTACAAGGTCTACGCGCTCAGGCACCAGGAATTGGCAGACGCCACGAAGAAGGAGGATGTTGGCGCCGCCGGGCCACAGCGCTTTGCACAGCAGCAACGAGCCCAGCGGGGCAGCGTTGGCCTTAGCTTGCTGGCGGGCGAGGCTCAGCCGTCTTCCCCGCCTGGCAAGGAGCGAACGGCGTCAAAAACGCCTGCAGAGCGAACCCGGGGTGAGGTGGCGAAGGCGGAGGCCATGCGGCGGCGGTTTCCGGCGTACGCGCCTGTGACAGTCGCGGAATCCACCCTTGCGACCATCACGGGTCGCGGCGCCGCGGTGGGTGTAGACGACCCACAAGTAGGCGCGTACGAGGGGCCGCACTTCTACAAGTTGCGTCTGCCCCGCCTCTACACCGACATCGTGGATGCCGTGCAGCTTGCGCTAGATGTACAGGATAGGCTGAAAACTGAGAATGTTGCCCGTGCAAGGTTTTTCTAGATGATATGTGCCGTTGTCGCGGAGTGAGGCGCTTGAAAAGGCTCACATGGATGAAGAGAAAAGAACACAAGCATATATATATATATAGAGAGAGAGAGAGAGAGATCAAAGGTTTGGAAGGAGATGGAGGGAGAGGGAAATAATTACATTGTGCATATATAATATAGATCTATATATATGTGTGTGTGTGTGTGTTTCCCAGAACGGCTAGACGATAACAAGGCGGTCCTTGCTGAATGCGACTGAATTCCGTTCTGGTGAGATGTATTCTTACTGGGACTATTTATTACTTCTGAGCCGTATTACGATTATTACAATTATTCCTTTAATTCTCGTCCTCTATGGGTGCGGGGACAAGCAGACAGTACACACACACACACACACATACACACGCAAGCAGGCAAATATTAGCAAGTGCATATTCACAGGTCGAGGCACATGTCGAGTGGTTTGACGGCACGGCGCCTCATTCTGCAGCAACTGACTGCAGTGGCACAACACAGCCCTTTTAGGTCTGCATTAGCGGCCGTGTTGGCGAACAGCGCTGCCGCCACCACTGCTGCGAATACTGCCGCTAATATTCCTTTGAACGATCACGGTAGTAGCCATGGCAAAAGCCCATGGTTTCGGCGTTTTCTGATTCGTCCTGAGAGCAGTCGTGGGACCTTTACACTGATGACGGAGGAGGAGATGGAATACCTGCGGCTGCGGCGCGAGGAGGACGGGGATGAGGCCCGAGTGGTGCTCTCCACGCGGCCAACGCGCAGTCTGCTAAAAGGGGTGGCCGGAAGCGCCCTCAATGTGGTCTTGTCGTTTTTGCTGTCGCCTCTCCTGGCCCTCTCTGTTTCCCTCGAGGCGGTTCGCTTGGGCGGGGCACGGCCTGTCACCCTTGTCGTCGCCCCGATTGTTGGCCTGACGTGGGGCGCGGTGTTTTTCTCTGTTCGCCTGGTACGCCGCACTCCAGCAGCTGCTGCTGACTGTCCTCTACCAGCTGCAGGCGCCCGTGATGTTCCTTTGCCGCCCCGGCCGCTGCTGGGACGAGTTTGCCTGCCGCTACGCGTACCCCTCCGGCGCGGTGGGGGACGTCCACCCGCTGCTGGCGACGTGCGCGGCGGAGGAGCGGCTGCGGGAGCAGGCGCTGAAACGCGAGTCCCGTCGCCGGCGCAGCGCGAAGCGCGACGTCACGTACGAGCCCACGAAGAGTAGCAGGGGCGGCGGAAGCGACGGCGACTATTACGCCGTCCTGGGCGTCGAGCGCGATGCCACGGCGCGGCAAATTAAGGAGGCGTACAACCGCCTCGTGTTGGAGATACACCCGGACAAGAACCCGAGCAAATCCGCCGCCTCCCAGTTTGACGCGGTGACAAAGGCCTATCGCGTGCTTGGCAACGCGGAGAAGCGGCGCAAGTACGACATTGGCGGCACCAGTGTTGTGGAGGACATTGGCGAAAAGAAGCGAGACGCGGTGCGGGCGCTCTTTGGCGGTGACGCCCTGTACAACATCGTGGGCGATGTGAAGACGGGCAGCTTCTCGCAGCGTGTCGTGGATGGTCTTGACTGGACGCAGGATGAGCTTGCCGCGTGCCGCCAGCGCATGCTCCAGCGCTGCCGTGACGAGCTTCTCACCGCCTACCTGCAGCCGCTCCAGCACGGCAACACGAAGACCGGCGGCCACCACGATGGGGTCGGCCTTACGGACGTCAAGAGACGGCTGCAGGGGCTCCTCAACACTGGCCTCGCCAAGGAGGTGTTGTGTGCCGTGGGACAGGAGTACATGCGTGTCGTGCGGTACAGTGAAGCGAGGAGTGCGTTGCAGCGACTTCAATTCTTTCTGCACGTCATAGCCCCGCACCGAGTCCAACGACGCGTGGACAAGTGGCGTGCGTTGGGCCGCATTCGACAGCACACCTTCAAGGACTCCGCCGCCATGGTGGACCTGGCGTGGTACACGTCGGTCGAGGAGCTTGAGTCGACGGCGCGGTGGGTGGCAACGGCGGTCATTCTCGACCCACGCCTGCCGCTGGAGGAGCGCCAACGCCGCCGCGAGGCACTGCGCGTGATTGCCGAGACATTTGTCGTCTATGGGCAGGTGTACAAGGGCGCCAACAGGCAAACGATGGATACGTTGATGAACTCGCTGCGGGAGTACAAGCAGCAACAGCAGCAGCAAAGGCGGGATAGCCAGTAAATGCAGAAGGGGAGTGGGGGGGGAGAGAAAAAAGAAGAGCGCCTGTGTTTGTGTAGGGAGAAAAGGAGAGGGGGCGTCCGGTGCGTCCAGCGAGGGAGGGAAAATACGTGGGCGGTGCAGTGAGAAACACTTTTGTTGTTTTAAAGGAAGCGGCTTACGCGGTCTGCCCCCTCGCCTTCTTTGTTTGTTGGTTTTTGGTTGTTGTTGGTGTTTTTTTTTGATTTTTTCTTATCATGGTTGGTGACCTCTGTAGTTGTTGCTCTTCCCGAGACTTTGTCGCGTCTTGGCGGCGCCGCTTACTTCTTGGACGCCTGCGGCCGTGGCGGCGCCACCGCGCACCGCCGAGCAGCGACGGCGTCTCCCGCTCTCACTGTGTGTGTGTGTGTGCCAGCCGTCGAAGCGGCGGCCTCCTTCCCCCCACCTCCGCGTGGCTTCCCTGCTCTTTGCACCCACTGCCCTTGTTTTTGTTGTTGTTGCTGTTGTCGTGTTTTGCTCCGGGCCGGTGTCGGTGGCCCCCACGCAGCGCAGGACCGGTGAGTAAGTGAGTGGGGTGGGGGAGATATATTTATTTGGTTTTATTTCTTGATCACTGCGTGGTGGGGGGAGGGGGAGTTTATGGAGCAGGCACCGAGCGCGACCACCATCACCGCGGAGGCGATCAAGAAGATTTGCGTGCAGCTTGGCTACTACCGTAACCCTGTCTGCAATGAGAAGCTCTACCTGCATCACAAGGGGTTTGACAGCATCGAGGAGGACGCCTTCGACGCCTACACAGACGTCAAGGTGTTGTGGCTAGAGGGCAACGCGCTCACGCGCCTCCAATGCGGCAAGGACAGTCTGCCGCGTCGGAAGCCGCAGCCGCAGGCGGAGGGCAGTGCACCGGAGCCGGCGCCGGCGCCGCCCGCTCCTCCCGAGGTGGGCTGCTCCAAGAGCGCACAGCGGGAGCGTTGCGCGAACACGCACGTGGACCACTGCGCTGATTGGACGACGGCGCCGCCGCCACACATCGGCGCCGTTGCCGAGGCGCTGCAAGCGAGTGTCGCCACGGATGCCGCGACTGCCCCGTCCCCCGTCGTGAGCGCCACGGCTTCTGGGGAGAGCAAAGACGTGTTTCAGTCGCTCTACCCCACGCTTCGACAGCTGTTCCTGCACAACAACGCGCTGCGGGAGATGCCGGACCTCAGCGGCTTCCAACGCCTAGACACCGTCAATCTTGCAAACAACTGCATCCACTCCGTGCAAGCAAACTGTGCGGCTTTCAGCGCGAGGGTGGCTGAGTTTGAGGCGGCGCTGCGGGAAAGGGCACAGGCACTCGTGGCAAACTCAAAGAGCATGCAAAACGAACTTCGCGCTCGCGATGCCCGCTTGCAGCAGACGGCGGCGAGAGATCCGCAGCCTGGCTGCGACGCTGAGGAACAGACGGGGCACGAAGCTGCGCGGCGGGACTTCGTCGCGTTGCCGGCACCCACAGAGGCGACAGCGACGGCCACTGAGTACAAGCGGAATGAAGTGGCGGTGGTGGAGGGCGGTGGCGGTGCCGTGCGTCTTGACATGGACGTGTGGCGGAGGCGGCTCAGCGCCTATGTCGACTTTTGCCCGCATGCACCGCTGGAGGTTGCGGAAAACGGCAAGCTGTCCGATGATGTGCCGCCCGGCTGCCGCAACCCGTGCAGCTCAATCCGCTCCCTCAACCTCGCCGCCAACTACCTCGCCGAGGTGGACGACATTGTGCAGCTGCTGTGCTTCAAGAACCTCGCCGTGCTGGACCTCAGCAACAACCAGCTGGAGAACGGGGAGGCGGTGCTGCTCATCATGGAGCGGCTGCCACGGCTGCGCTCGCTGCGGTTGTCGGGCAACCCGCTCGTGCGCTCGCTGCCGCGGTACCGCAAGATGGTGCTGGCGCGTTGTCCGGGGCTGCTGCACCTGGACGACCGCCCCGTGTTTGCCGACGAGCGGCGCCTGGTGATGGCGTGGGTCCGCGGCGGCGACGAGGCGGAGCAGAAGGAGCGGCTTCTCATGCGGAAGGAGACGGAGAAGCAGCACATTCGCCGCCTCGAAGAGTTCCGGGAGATGGTCGGCCGATTTCTGCCCACGGGCCCCGTCGACCCCCACGGCGCGAGTGAAGCGGCGCCGCGCTTCGACCCACAACGGCGGGCACCGCAGGGGGGAGGGGCGTACCTCCCCGCGCGCCCCAGAGACGACGACAATAACAACGACGACGATGACGTGACGAGCAGCGAGAGCGACGGCGTAGAGGGCGAGGAGAGCCGTCGACGCACGCGGGCCGCCCGACCGGCGACGGGCAGCAACAACAACGTGCAGAACGCCATCATCACCCCCGCGCCGGAGCCGGCAGGCATCGCACAAGCGCCAGTGAACACGCGTGACCCGCGGACGCCGCCGAGCTCCGGCAGCGGGCCTCAGGCCGCAGGGCCACCGCCGCGTGGTCTGCGTCTTGGCGGGGGTGACGACGAGGAGGGTAACATTTACATCCCACCGGCAGCGGCGCGGTAGCGGGGGGGGGGAGTGCAGCTCTCGTCCGTGGACCCCCGTAAAAATATGTAGAGAAGATCAATTGTACTACTAGAGCCATTTGCGGCGCTGATCAGCTTCAT